AATGCGTAACCTGAATCTGATCATGAGAGCAGGTCATACAATCCAAATCGAAGGCCACTTTGCAGAATAACTGGCCTATATTCTTCAAAAATGTCCAAAGCATAAGAGATTTTTTAAGTTAAGAAACTATTATAGACTAAGTCGGAGTACAGGGACATGAAAAATCAGTGTGATCCTATATTGGATCAGTTGACATGCAGTGGGTAATTCTATGCTCTATTTAACTGTCGAGAAAATATTACTGATAGTGTTCTAACACCAGAGAGAAAAGCTGAAAAAAAATAAGTAAAAATTATATGAATAAAAAATCAAAGTGATAACTCCAAGAAAAACAAAAAATTATTAGTACTAATAATTAACTAAACTGTAAACAATATTCTCATACTAACAATGCAAACACTATTTACTGAAATGTGATTAAAATTATATTAGAAATATACGGATAGGAAATGGTCAGAAAAGTGGTGTAAAAAAGCTAAATTCTCATTTACCCAAACAGGAAGTTAACTGAGAATGTCTGAAATTAGTAAACCAAGAATAAGTATGTTATTTAGAAATACAGTGGCAAATACCAGAAGAAACAGCCAAAAGTTGAAAGCATTTGCCTGTAAGGAGCAGCAGTGAAGGTGGGGGAACTGCTGTTTTTTCCATTGTTAAGCTTTTAAGTCTTAATTGAATTTTTTTACTGTGTATGTGTATACTATTTTGATTTTTAAAACTAAAAATTATTTTTTATTGAAGTATAGTTGATTTACAATGTTTTGTTAGTTTCTAGTGTACAGCAGAGTGATTGAATTATATATAAAGAGAGAGATATTCTTTTTCATATTCTTTTCCATTATGGTTTATTATAAAAATACCATATGAGATCGCTCATATGTGGAATCTAAAAACAAACAAACAAACAAAGCATAAATACAAAACAGAAATAGACTCATAGACATAGAATACAAACTTGTGGTTGCCAAGGGGGCAGAGGGTGGGAAGGGATAGATGGGATTTCAAAATTGTAGAATAGATGAACAAGATTATGCTGTACAGCACAGGGAAATATACACAAGACCTCATGGTAGCTCACAGAGAAAAAAATGTGACAATGAATATATATATGTTCATGTATAACTGAAAAATTGTGCTCTACACTGGAATTTGACACAATATTGTAAAATGATTATAAATCAATAAAAAGTGTTAAAAAAGATATTGAATATAGTTCCCTGTACTATACGTAAATCTTTGTTGTTTATCTATTTTATATACAGTAGTTTGTACCTGCTAGTGTCAAACTCCTAGTGTATCCCTCCCCACACCTTTCCCTTTTGGTAACCATAAATTTGTTTTCTGTGACTGTGAGTCTTTCTGTTTTGTAAATACATTCATTTGTATCATATTTTAGATTCTATTATATAAGTAATATCATATAATATTTGTCTTTCTCTGTCTGACTTACTTCACTTAGTATGATAATCTCGAGGTCCATCCATGTTGCTGCAAATGGCAATATTTCATTTTTTATGGCTGAGTAATATTCCATTGCGAGTGCACACTTGCACCCGCACACATGTGTGTATACTACACACACACACACACCACGTCATCTTTATCCATTCATTTGTCAGTGGACATTTAGGTTGCTCCCATGTCTTGGTTATTGTGAATAGTGCTGCTGTGAACATTGTGGTGCAAGTATCTTTTCGAATTAAACTTTTCATATTTTCTGGATATACGCCCAGGAGTAGGATTGCTGAATCATACTGAAACTCTATTTTTAGTTTTTAAGGAATCTCCATATGTTTTCCATAGTGGCTGCACCAATTTGCATTCCTACCAACAGTGTAGGAGGATGCCTTTTCTCCACACCATCTCCAGCATCTATCATTTGTGGACTTTTTAATGATGGCTGTTCTGAGTGGTGTAAGGTAATACATCATTATAGTTTTGATTTACATTTCTCTGATAATTAGCGACATTGAGCATCTTTTCATGTGTCTATTGGCCATCTCTATGTCTTCTTTGGAGAAATGTCTGTTTAAATCTTCTGCCCATTTTTAATTGGGTTGTTTGGTTTTTTGTTATTGAGTTGTACGCGCTGTTTGTATATTCTGGAAATTAAGCTCTTATTGGTTGCATCATTTGCAAATATTTTCTCCCAGTCCCTCAGTTGTCTTTTCATTTTGTTGATGGCTCCTTTGCTATGCAAAAGTGTGTACATTTGATTAGATACCATTTGTTTATCTTTGCTCTTATTTCTGTTGCCTTGGAAGACAATTCTTTTTAAGTAAAGAAGAAATACATTCAAAAACAGTTGGCAAATAGGGAGGCTAATACAAAATTAAACATTTTTTGAAATTACCAAAGTACACCCATTTCAAGTAAAGATAAACAGACCCACCCACGTATTTCTTAATGGTCCCTGAGCAAAAATAGTTCATCACATCACAGAACAGCTATTAATTTACATAAAGAAATTATATCAAAACAAATTAAATTGTTTTTGGTCTACTCTGTTTAATAAGACAAGGAAGAATGATGCATTTTGAAAATACTGTCATCAAAAAATGTTTAAAATAGTAAAGATTCATCACCTAAAGGAATAAACTTTGGATATAAATATAAACATGCTGGTTCTCTGATGATGCCAGATAAATGAGTTTAGGCAATAAAGCTTATTGTTGCCAAAAGTATAGATTATAAATAAAGATTACCGGAACACTAACAATCAATTTCAGATTTTTGCCTTCGTCATTTCAAGAGCCACCAAGCCAGTTTTCTTTAGACTGCCTGGGCTGGTTTGGGCCAGGGTCTAGTCAATATATAGTCTGCCAGGATGTAGGTAAATAAGATAGAGGGATGAAGCAAAATTGAGCATCCCAGCCTGCTGAATATCAAGTGCGGGGATGCACAGATGTCAGAGCGTGTTTCATGCAGTCTGTGACCAGGCTCATGTTCGGGCTAATTTGCGACAGCCCTTTTCTTGTGGTTTCAAAATCTGTATACAAAAAGATAAATTGCAGTCAGCAATTTTATTCCTTGTATTTTAAGATCCTATTGCACTCAGCCACAGAAGTCTAACTATATGTAATTTCCACAAGCATTAGGCCGATCAGACCCATACTTCCCAATATAACAGTCACTAGCCACATGGAGGTGTTAAGCACTTAAAATACAACTAGTATGACTGAAAATTGAACTTTTAAATTTTAATTAATTTTAATTTTAAAACTCAATTCTGTTATTGGAAAACTTTTAAGTATCTTTGGAACAATATAGGTATGTTAATCTACTTTTTCAATTGGAAATTTTTTAACGTCTCCATTGAGACATAATTCATACATCATAAAAATCATCCATTTAAAGTGTACAAATCAATGACTTTAAGTATAATCCGAGTTTTGCAGCCATCACCACAAACTAGAGAACATTTTCATCATCCCAAAAGGAAACCCTGTACCCATGAATAGTCACTCCCATTTCCGGCCAACCCACCCAGCCCTAGGCAACCACTAATCTATTTTCTGTCTCTATGGATTGCCTTTTATGGACATTTCATAGAAATAGAATCATACATTGTGGTCTTTTGTGACTGGCTTCTTTCACAGAGCAAACTGTTCTCAAGGTTCATCCATGTTGCAGCGTATATCAGTACTTCACTTCTTTTTATTGCCGAGTAATATTCCATTGTACGGCTATACCACACTTTGTTCACCCATTCAACATTTAATGAACATTTAAGCTGTTTCCACTTTGGGGCTATTATGAAATAATGCTGCTGGCAACTACAAATTTTATTCATCTAAATATAGATGAAGTATGTCCTGGGAAAGTTTAGCATCCAAGTTGAGGTGTGCTGTAAGTGTAAAACACATACCAATTTTCAAAGACCTAAGGGAAAAAATACGTTAAATATCTTATTAATAAATTTTATGTTGATAATAAATGAAGAAATGGCAGTATTTGAGGGTATATTGGTTTTAAATGAAATATATTATTACAATTAATTTTACCTGTTTCTTTTCCTCTTTTTAAAAGTAGCTATTAGAAAATTTATTATATATATAGCTCTTAGATATCTATTGGACAGCACTGACCTACTGACCTAGACTATTCTGATCCAT